CGTTCAGCCAATGAGCGGCGGGCTGGCTGTCCAGGGAGCGCGCGGGTGCCACGTGCCCCACCCACCCAACACTCCAAGTGGGAGCAAGGGCTGGGCTCCAGGGAGGGACAGGGCGAGGGTGAGCCTGCTGCAGGCATGCGCTGGGGTGTGTGAGCTCAATGCACCAGGGAACGAGAGACCCTTGCCCATTGGGGGGAGGGATAGCTCAGTGGTTTGAGCATTGGCTTGCTAAACTCAGGGTTGTGAGTTGGCTCCTTGTGGAGGCAATTTGGGGGCAAAAATTTGCCAGGATGGTACTTGGTCCTGCTGTGAAGGCAGGGGACTGGACTCAATGACCAGGTCCCTGCCAGTTCTAGGAGAGAGGCAATCTTTATAAATTCTGAAGAGTGGTCCTGCCTTTCTCTCTCATATGAACACAACAAGGAGTCCCTGGACCCTGGCACTTGAAAGGCTAACCCATTGATTAGGGGAGTAGGGCATTGTGTGAGCAAAAGCATATGCCCTAATCAATGGGTTAGGCTTTCAAGTGCCACCAGGTTCCTTGTTGGCTTTCCTGAAATAGACATAACACAGCTGCTCCTCTGAAATGTGTGCATGTGAAGAGCTTCTTGGGAAGACTTACTGATGGACCAAAATGAGTGTTTTGTATTGCGTTCTGAACTGGTGACCCCCTGTGGTCATTCTTATTTCTTATAAAAGCATCCCACCGTCCAGATCCAATTCTGTCGCAGGACTCAGAAATCTTCTGGTCGACAGTTTAACTGCTCCTAAGAAACAGTAGTGTCCTGGGAAGCTATAGCCACAGAAGGAGTTGCAATAAAGGATAACAGGGACCAGTCCTGAGGACCACTCTGAATATCCAGACAGAGACCTGTGAACTGGAGTTAATTCAGTAGGAACAGAGAGCAGAGCACTGGGGTTATGTGATCAGGGTTGCTAAACAGAGAAGTTATCGTATTATGTACCAGATAGAACTACTTCAGGATGTGCCACGCCAATCTGAGATATGAGTCAGCTTAGATGTCAGAAATATTCTTTTGCCTCCCATAGTGAAAAGTAATCTGAACGGATGGTTATTGCAATGTCATGGTGAGCTATACATTTATATGTGTACGGTCCAAACGCCAGAATTCATCATTATCCAGACTGGACATTTGATCTGAACTCTGTCCCACACTTGCCATGGACTCAAAGCGCTCCTGCCCAACTGTAGACTGATTCTTTATGTTGCTCTGTATGTAGGTGAGCCCTTTATATATAATACAATATTCTGCATTTTTATGGCCCTTTCATCCTACAGTGTTTTAAAACATTATGCACAGCACCGCTGAAATGGAGTGGTCTTTGTGGTCGAGGGCACCCACAAAGAGCACAGAGGACACTGCACAACAGTGGAGGACAGACAATGGACATTTTAGCCAAGGACAATAGGACAGAATTGTACCTTGCCAATACTGCCATGATATTGCCCATACAGATCACTCAGTAAATTGCATAATACCTAGGCAGGATGAGGAGCTTTGTTCATACTAATGAGACTGGATGCCAGGATTCCAGGGAGTTGTCTTTATGTTCAGACCTGAGGCTAAGATAGAACCTCTCTAGTCCTCTGGACCTGATTGGTGCCAAATCAGAGAATCTGCCAAACCACGGGAGGTTAATATCATAGGAAGTGGATCTCTTTTTATTTTGCTGAGGAGCATAAATGGAACAGCACTTGCAGTGCTCCTTACCAATGTATGACTATCCTGATACACCCTATATACTTCTACACCTAGCCAAAGGTTATCATCTCTCTCTGTAATAAAGTATTAGTGTTGTTACACAATTTTACTATATTGACACAAGGAAATAAGTAGATAAAAACATGCTTATGTTTAGCAGGATCACCAACACTTCCACTGCTTACTGGGCTCTTAGAAGACATTTCAAGGTAAATTAGAGAGAACATTGGGAGCTAGGACTGGTGGCTGTAAACAAACTTTATGGGGCTGTGGGAAACTTGGCCACACTCATAAGTAGACATCTGGCTGACCAAAATCATGCTGCTGGACCACAAATGTTGCCAGATGAGAGTGGTGGACTAGAAAGATTTAACCTGTACTTCCGTAACCAAAGAGGATAGGACTGTTCCTTATTTAAACCTCGCCCTAAGTCAGAAGTACATCTGATAAATAAGGACACTCAGAGCAAAACAGAAATATTGCCTAAGAAATTATTGATTTTGGTAGGTGGGGCATTATGTGTTTAAGACTTTCTGGAGTAAGTAGCAGTCACAGCAAAGGGTGGTACAAGAAACTGCAGAGGCATGGATTATGTTTGTCCAGTGCACTAACCGCTTAGGCAGTACACACACTCCCTCATAGACACATGCCACTCCCTGGAGCAAAGTTAGATAACCAAACAGCAACAATGACTTAGCAAAAATTCAGGCCCTGGGCTCAGTGCCAACCTTAGGGTTCAAACTATTGAAACCATTGTGCTGAAAGGTGTAACCTAATGTTGTTATCAGATATTGATCACCTCACTACTGTCTCTCATGCTCTTTGGCCACAGAAGAGGTGGGATATTGATCCTCAAGCAATAACTAAGGGGCAAATCTACAGTCAATGGCAAAATAAAACAAGAGTTTTGGCAGTCTGTGAACTAGACTCTGTCAAATAGGCACAGCCTTGCAAGGTCACAGTACCCCAGGATGAGGGATTTCACCTTGTGCCTCATTTTATCATGAGAAACACCCTTCTAGTTGGCCCTTGCCTAAGTAATATTGGGTGGAAGGCTCTTTATGTCCTCCTTTAACTCTATTTTGCACTCACATAAGGGGCAGTTACACTCTGGCTGCAAATGACTTTACCCTGACAGGGTAGGAAAAATTTGACTACTTCTGTGTTCCCCTGGGGACTTGGGATCATGTGATGCTGCCTTGTCTTTCTCTACCCTTTCCCCCTCCATAGTTTGTGCACATTCAAGTCCTAGGCTGTGTCTACATTGGTGCGATCTTGTGCCAAAGCGGCCGCTCTTGTGCAAAAACTTGCTGCCTGTCTACACTGGCCGTGTGTTCTTGAGCAAGTACACTAATGTTCTACTGTATAAAATCAGGGCTTCTTGCACAAGAACTCTGATGCTCCCACTCAGGAATAAGCCCTCTTGCTCAACTGTTCTTGTGCAAGAGGCTGGTGAAGATAGGCAACATGAATTTCTTGCGCAAGAAAGCCCTATGGTTAAAATGGCCATCCGAGCTTTCTTGCCCAAGAGAGCATTTACACTGGCATGGATGCTCTTGCGCAAAAGCAAATGCCAGTGTAGACGCTCTCTTCTGGAAGAGTTTTTGCACAAGAACTCTTCTGCAAAAGAGTTCTTGCACAAGATCATGCCAATGTAGACATAGCCCCCTACTGTGCTTTGGGTTTGTGTCAGGTGTATTCACCCACAATGTTCCTTCTAATTTTTTTCATCCACGTGTGGATTTTTTTCCATCCATGTGCAGAATACACTTTTTGGCTATGTCTACACTCACGGCTTCTTGCACAAGGGTTCTTGTGCAAGAAGTCTTACGCAAGAAAACGTCCACACTGCTTTTGCGCAAGAACTCCCATGGCAGTGCGGACGCTCTCTTGCGCAAGAAAGCTCCGACGGCCATTTTAGCCATAGGGCTTTCTTGCGCAAGAAATCCCTGCCGAGCGTCCACACTGCCCTCTTGCGCAAGAGCTCCTGCGCAAGAGGGCTTACACCTGTTACAAAAGAGCGTAGCTCTTACGCAAGGAGCCCTCTGTTACCACGCCGTACTGTAAATTTCCTTGCGCAACAGCAGGCGGGCAGGGTAGACGCTCTGCAGATTCTTGCACAAGAACGGCCGTACTTGTGCAAGAAGCCACGCGTGTAGACATAGCCTTTATGTGCACCACGGCATGTGCAAAGGTGCCCAAAAGTAGAAACCAAAAACTTAGCACTGCTAATCAGTTGGGCAGCCTTTGAATCGCTCCTGAGCAGCGGTGCAAGAGGAAACGTGGATCAAAGGAGCTACAGGAGCAGGCCATGGGGTGAGTTGCTGGGGCAGAGGCTGGTCATACGTCATGTGTTGCTGCTGCTGCTCCTTCCCCTTTAACTGGCACGCGGGGGAGGGACCGAGCCGGACGAGCTGCTATTTAAGCAGCCCCGCGTGCAGCGCGCGTGTCTGCCCATCTAAGCGCCGGCTCCCCAGGTGTTGGATCTGCCCCAGCGCGCGCAGCGGGAGCCATGGCCGGGGAGAGCGCGCGGAGCTTGGGGAAAGGTGGGTGCAGCTGCCTCGCGCTGCGTCCCTTGCACAAGGGCTGCAGGGGATGCCCGGGGAGGGGGGTTGTAGCTGCATTGCACCCTCGAGCCCTGCCTTGCTGGTTGTAGCCCTGGTACACTGAGGTCTCCCCCCGGCTCTTCCGGGAGGGGGCTAATTGCATGCACCGGGGGTGTCTTTCTTTCCTTCCCCCGGGGGCAGGGTGTGCTGACTAGGGCTGCGGCACATTCCCTCCCCGGACCTGTTGTGCTCTTTGCTCGCTCAGGGTTGGGAGAGGCTCTTCCTGCACCCGCTGGAGCCTATGGCCCCGGGGAGAGGGGTGTGTGTGTGTGCTTGCAGCGGTGAAAGTAAGCGAGGGGGCCAGGTATGCGGCTCCCAAAAGCCAGCAGGGAGCTCTTCAAAGAGCTGGCAGGATCCTGGGTTGCACTAGGAGAGTGCCTGGGGAAAAAACTGAAGTTACTCTCACTGCTGGGGTGCAGGATGCTGCTGGGATTTTGCACAGGGTTTGGGAGTGCCCTCATCTGCCAGGGGCTGAGTCCTTGGGGAAGAGTTTGGCTCCTTCTGGTGGGAGGCTGGAGAGGCTGAGAGACTTCTCACTGGAGAACTGATTCACCCTAGGGCTTGCCCCAAAGCAAAACAGCCCAATTCTCCCCACCAGCCCCCTTAGCCCCAGTGCAGGGCAGCTCCTACCAGCAAGAATTTTGGACTCCTCTCACTTTCTCCCCAGGCTGCTTTGTTTTTTAGCCTCGAGTTAAGAGGATGCCTGTTTGTGCTGGTGTGAATGCAGAATAACCAGTGTCACTTCTCTTGTAGGAAGCCCTGCTCCAGGCCCTGTCCCAGAGGGTTTAATCCGCCTCTACAGCATGCGCTTCTGTCCCTTTGCAGAGAGAACGCGTCTTGTCTTGAAGGCCAAAGGAATTAAGTAAGATCAAATAACAAGCGCTGGCTGTCTCCTTGGTGTCCAAGTGCTAGGGGCTGAAGCGTCTTCTGCTGCTTTCATGTAACACTTCTGTGACTTTCCCTTGTAAAAATGAGTTGTCCAAGAGTGGTGATCTTCCATAGTTTACCATGGCTAACAGGATGAATCATGCACCCTTGTTCACTGTAACCTTTTAAAGGGCTACAAAGGCAAAATCCAGGAAATAGCTTAAATATGTTTTAGTGGGGAGAGTAGAAGTGTAGCCGGTACTCAGAACTGCTTTTTAAATTGTTTCCCAGCAACCTGTTGTGGGGTTACATTCAGGTTTCCAGTTCTTAGTGAAAAGATTGGAGGGAACACTGCTTACAGCGCCTTCAAATATAGCATGTTTGTGATTTCTGTGGTAAATGTATTTGTGTTCATTGTTGGCTTTGAAAAAGTTGCATGACTAGCTTTGCGTAGATCCTCTTCTGAAATAACTTTATTAACAATAGTTCCTATTTAATAGGGACGAGTTTTATTCCTTGTTTACAAATGATTAAGGAACAAGACTTAGCTTGTGGTTAGTAAGTTGTGACCCCTACATGGTGGCTGACTCATGCCTCGTCCCAAGTTAACTCTACCAGTGTTTCTCAACCTTTTTTATAAAGTACCTACCCCTTCTTCAAAAAAATACCCCCAAGACCTATAGTTTTCAGACACATCTTTTTTCTACCATTGCAACACATTTGTTTAAGCAACTTAATTGTAGCCGGGCGGGTGGTGGAATTTTTGGGTGTAAAGTACAAAAATAAGAAAGCGCTTTAAAACTTAAAACAAATTCAGTTTTCTCCAAATTTCAGTTGATGTATCCCCCTCCCCCCCAAGGTCTCTTGAGTACCCCTAAGGATACTTGTACCACTGGTTGAGAAACACTGAACTACAGGCAGTCCCCGGGTTATGTACAAGATAGGGACTGTAGGTTTGTTCTTAAGTTGAATCTGTACGTAAGTCAGAACTGGCGTCAGCCGCTGCTGAAACTGATCAGTTTCA